GCCGGCCAGCTAGCCTTCATACACACGGGATCACCGAAACCAGAAGAGCAGTGTTCCAGCACGCATGTGCACGCCGGCACTCAAACGGGTTTCAGTTGCATGCATGCACCACAGCCAGCTGCTTGTTGGGCCCATGCCCGCAACCAGAAATCTGGGTGCCGGTGTGCACATGCATGATGGAACGCTGCTGTTCCGGGTTTCGGTGGTCTTGCGCAAGAGAAGGACAGTGAGGCCACGCATTCCTCATGGGATGGTTTCGTGTGCCATTTCTGGCATGCAGGTACAAAAAAGGTTAGCCATCACTGATCTATGCTGTATAAAATGTACTTTGAATCACAACTTTCCCCATACACAAGAACAGAAAGCGAACGAGATGCTTGCATAAATTATACAAATTCCTATCAAACTCCCACTTTTGCAGACAAAATTTGGAAGGAAGCAGTAAACTAATACAATATAGTTTCACATCTATGTTAGGAAGACCTTATTTCGTTTAGAGAAGAGAGAATTAGTAACTTCAACTCCGCCTTTATTTCAATGCAAATCTGAACATGTTTAGACATCAAATCTCATTGGATTCAATGATTTTTTTTATGACTCAATGCTCTTTCTAGGATAAAAATAAAGTTTGAAAGAATTTTTCGCACTATAAGACACACCAGATCAAAAAGACGCACATTAGCTTTAGAGGAGGAAAACAGGGAAAAAAATCTGCCTCTGCCCCCCAGCATCCATCTGGTATTAATCTGGCTAGTCCTTCCAGTAAACAGCCTGGTCAGCTTCAGCACATTATCGCAACTCCAGCATGTGGCTCGTCAGGCCTCCGCTCCATTGTGCCCACCACCAGTCAACTGAGCTGAGCTGCTGCCCCCGCCGCCAGGAAACTCTCAAGCTTTCGCTGCCAAGCAGCTGATTGGTGGTTGGATCGGCCTCCTGGAACACCACCAATCAGGTGTTCTAGGTAGCGGGGGATTGCCTATTGACATCTAGAACAGCCGATTGGTGGCATTCCGGGAAGCCAATCCATCCGCCGATCAGCTGCTCAGCAGCGAAGGCTCCAGCATTCCCTCCCGGCGACTCCAACCCCCTCCCCCCACAATATTTGCTCTATTAGACACACAGACATTTCCAGCCATTTGGGGGGGAGGGGAGTGTGTCTTATAGTGTAAAAAATATGGTACTTCCAGTAGAGGCAGAACAGGGATATTTTTAATTCTAACTGTATAGCATTTTCTCATTTGATTCTTCCAGTACATTCTGTTATAGATAGCATCCATAACAGTTTTAATTACCATTATTTTTGTCAAACAAAAGCAGAATACATTAGAAAGGAGTATCCCTAAACCCTCTAGATGGGATGATTATTTCTCAAGCTAGGGTTACATCAGGACTAGATCCAATAATAGGTTGTTAGAGTAAAATGGACTGTGGGGGTGATTATGTTTGCGCATGCATGCACACTGAACTCCCTGTATTTTAATGTCTTCTATTACATAAGCATCCACACAGGCAGAAAACAGAGAGCTAGAAATATTCTCCACATCAACTAATTTCTCAAAAATGAAGTGATAATGAAGCTATAAAAAACAAGAAGATTTCTTGCAGACTTGTAAAGGGAAGGAATTATTTAGGACCTTGCTATGGTATTGATTTAGCAACAAACCTTTCTGGGATTCATGTTTCTCTGTTTTTCCTTGGTAATCAAATCCCATGGCACTCTTGTCTACTCTGTCAGCCTGCACACCGTACTTCCCACCAAATCCACTTGAGTAGTCTGAGAAGAGAGCAAAATACACCATGTATCAGAAATTACTGTAGGAGCAGCAGAACAAAAGAATGGGTATCCTTGCTGGTAGACTAGAGTTATGATCAAGTTCACTGATAAATACTGCACATCCCCCACTGAATTCCATTATTTGATAACACCACTATGCACTATAGGTAAAGTGTCCTAGAATTTGGAGACTCTCCAAAGGGTATTTAGGATGCCTTCAGAATTTTTGCCAGCATTAAAGGTCTTTACATTTGTGTCAGCAATCTGGATTGTGATCTACATTACCAATAACAAATTCAAGTCAACACAATTTCTGCTATTTTATCACTTCCTGCCTTAGTGCTCTACTTTTCAAAATGAGGGAAGCAGTGTTTTATGATGCTAAGTATCACTGTCATCAATCCTAATATTAATTCCAAAAGGATATCATTCTGGAATGCTTACTTTATTTAGCCATGGAGCTGCTGTTGCTCTATTACTCTATAGGCTCACACATTAAGCATCCATATAAGTGTCATTAATGAATCAGAATTGAGCTGGAAGGGACCTTGGCCGTGTTCTAGTCCAACCCTCTGCTCAAGCAGGAGACCCTATACCACTCCAGAGCTGCCTGTCCACTTTTTTCTTAAAACCTCCAGTAATGAAGCATCTATAATTTTTGAAGGCAAGCTGTTCCATTGGTTAATTATCCTCACTGTTAGGAAGTTTTTCCTTGATTCAAAGTTATTTTGCTGAAAATTGGGATGTGCTTTACTAGGCTTTATTAATACCTGCAGCAATTAACTGGTAAGAGAGAAATTAATGATAAAGTTTTTTATTCAGTGTGTTGCGGTAAATTTTTATTCTACCTGTGGATTATGTACATGTATTTAAGTAAAATAACTCCAAAGCAGATTTTGTTAAATCTTTTATATGCTTTGAACAAATTATTTCTAAGTGTGAATTACCTTTCTGAGAAGCATGTTTCTCTGTTTTTCCTTGGTATTCAAATCCCACAGCAGACTGCAAGAGAAAAATAATGCAACAAAAAGTTCTCATTTATAAAAGTTAGAACTGTTATCTTTTCAGGAGTTAGCTATATTTTGGGACAATCTTACATAATGGTTCAGGCCTTCCCCATTTTCAAATGGGGCCGGCATTTAATTGAGTTTTCTGCCATTTTTACATCATCATATTATTGTAGCTTGGATGAGAAGATGCTGTTTGGGACCCCAATCCATGCCCCGGCACCTCTAGGCCCCATTGCCAACTCAGTTGTCCAATCCATTTTAAAAGTGATAGCTACCAATCAGTGTTTCTAATCAATATATAAGCATTAAAAAGGATTTATGAAAAAAATATTTCATAAATTCTTTGTCAGGATATCAGAATTCCTGTATAACACATGTTACACATTTAAATCTTCTAATACAGTGTTTCTCAACCTTGGCGACTTTAAGTCCTGTGGACTTCAACTCCCAGAATTCCCCAGCCAGCTGTGGGAAGTACACTGTTCTACTACAACTCAGCCACCACCACCACCCACAAAAAAAAGGTCACTGTACTATAAAGAGTGGATTCTGATCATGGTGAGATATAGATATAATGGAGAAATAAATAAAATAAACAAAATATTTATACATTCTTGGTTCAGCTTGCAATACAACTATCACAGGTCTTTCATATACTTTCAAGTCTTTAATATACAGTTCAGTATATTTTATAATCATGCTTTAAGATGATTAGTTGGTAAATTTCTTGCTGCTCTCTTTCCTTTATTTTGTGCAAACATAAACACTAGGAACTGGAATAAAGCATCAGAACCCTTTTTCAGAAAAGGAACTGCTGTAAAAGCTATTCAAGCAAAGCTGAAAAACGTGCAATATAAAAAACGTTAACAACCCACAGGGATAGCACAATGTTAGCACAATGATTTAGCACAGTGTTTCTCAGCCTTGGCGACTTTAAGTCCTGTGGACTTCAACTCCCAGAATCCCCCAGCCAGCACAGCTGGCTGGGGAATTCTGAGAGTTGAAGTCCACAGGACTTAAAGTCGCCAAGGTTGAGAAACACTGATTTAGCACAATGCTAAAAGCACAGAAGGTCTGTTACCTGGTCAACCCTGTCAACCTGGACGCCAAACTTGCCACCAAAGCCTTTAACCGAATCCACCTGGGAGCAATGCTTAGAAAGCTTGGATTGATATTCATGTCCAACGGCTGACTGAAAGGGGAAAAAAGAAGAGAGCCTCTATTAAGTTATTCATAATGACTGGACTTGAACCTCATCCTAAATTAGCCTCAGTCACGTATGACTGGTGCACATGCATGTGTTGCAGCAGGCTGAAGCCTTCCTTTCAATTTCACTCAAATGAAACGTTTCGGGGATCTGGCAACTGCACACTGAGGATAGCTGTTTACAAAGAAATCCTAACAAGCAATGTTCTACTCAGATGATTGGGACAGCAGGCAGCCTGCCATCCAGACCACATGCTGGCCCTACAGAAATGAGAAATCTTGTTAACTATCTCAGGGCCTACATTTCAGGGTTCATTAAACCCTTCATACCAGGACTTGATCTAAGCACTCTTCTCTCCTTTCTCCCACAAGGAAAATAGGTATATAAATGTATATTCAGAACGACTATAAGCAAGACAATGTCAAGGAGGTACATTTTCTACCTCCATAACGGCAATAGTCTCCTTTACCTACAATGCATTCCAGGTTTTAGAGTCAATGCAGCATTTAAACTGGCTCCAATAGCAAAACAGTTTGAGCATTTGTTCATTGAACAATTTCTGGGCCACACCACACAAAAATAATTCAGAGTAACTTTGCAATAAAAAATGCCATATTAAAAAAGGATCCACCACCTGGAATGTGCAAATCCAAACAACATTCACTCCATCTCCTTTCTTACTGGAGTCCGATCACATGCTAACCCAAAGCCAGGTTTTTGTGATTTGTTTAAAGTTGGATAGGGTGGAGGATCTCCAAATCGCCACCTACCAACTCAGACTGGCTAAAGATGATGGAGGCAGGGAGAAAGAAGTATTTCTTAATTGCCATTAACATCACCAAAGGTGCCAAGTTTGCTGGCACATCATTTTACCAATGAGCATCTGGGAAACTGCAAATGCAGCCGGCTGATTTTGCCATCTATGAACACTCATATTTATAGAAAGCCACACCACACCCACTTCATTTCCTAAAGTCTCTATCAAACTTTTAACAACTTCCTACACATTTGGCCTGCATATTCCTGTCGCTATGGGACAGAAAAAGAGACAAAACAAGGCTAACTATATATACTATTTATGATGATTCAGCAACATTTGAAGTATATATTCTATGATTTCCCATCTTTATTTTTTAATATAACAATATTAACTATGGAAATGGGTGCCTTTCAGCTATGTCAAAAGTATCCCACAGAATTCTTAACCACCATAGCCATTTTTGGAATTATATTCCCAGCATATCTGGAGAAGATTATATTTGACTTAGATACAATGACATTACATTTCACCTGGCTGGGATCAATATGCGTATCAGATTAAAAACACGCAGGCATTTTCAAACTTCATGCTAAGAAATACAGCCTATTTTATCAACTCTCTGCATTTTTACTTTGATGCTTCCTCAAAATTCACATTCAGAATGAATTTTGTATTCTTTTTTCTCTGATACCATGATGAAGCAAGACAACGGCTTCACAATTTTCTTTAAGGAGATAATCAGTGACCATTCAGTGCAGGCCATGAGGTATGGCCAAAAGTATGCACTGCTATGGATAGAATCCAATTTGGAAACATCCAAGTATTAAACTTTTTTAAAAAAATTATTTTAAATCTCTTGGAGGTAGCATGCTTCCAAATGAATTTGAAACACACTGTTTGCAACTTCTATCATTTAATTTAAATAAAACTTTATTTAAAACATTATATAGAATTCTAAACTTCCAGCAGCTTTTGATCACTATATCCCCCTGGAAAAACTGCCCAAGAGCACTGTGTTCCAGATATTCCATTCACTTGACTTGAATTAAATGGTGAATCCCCCAAAGTCTGTTTCTGCTTAAATTCATGCAGAATTTTATCTCCAATAATTTTAATAACCCATCATAGGCAATCTATAGTGAGTGTGTTCAGTGTTAATATGTGTTTATCAGAGAACTGTCTGATAGAAGTAGCTTTGGGAGGCTAAAATGGCCAGCTGAACTAGCTGAGTTTACTCATTGCCTTTAGCAAAAGCCAAAATGTATTTTACTTTAGTATAATGTATAAATGAAGCCTTGATGGTCTGCATGTATTTGTCTCTGTATGTATGCCTTTCAGTCAATGCTACCTCCTAGCCTACTTCCTGGACAAGTCCCTACAGTTTTCTTGGCAAGATTTTCAGAAGCGATTTGTCATAGCCTTCTTCTTCCTAGAGATAAACATGAGTGACTGGTCCAAAGTCACCCAGTTGTCTTTGTGCTCAAGGCAGGACTAGAACTCATAATATCTGTTTCCAGTTTGGTGCCTTAATCCCATCATCAAACTGGCTCTTTTCTTTTTGTGGTTGAATTATATTGTTTATGTATTGTCGCCAGTCGTGTCATGAACTGTTATAGAAAAGAGTATAAATTGGTATGAAAAAACACCAGCTGGGCTTTGGGCCAGTTACTCTCTCAGAGCCCAACTCACCTCACAAGATTGTTTTTGTGGGGAAAATAGGAGGAGGGAGGAGTATTGGTATATTCACTCCCTTGGGCTTTATGTGGGGAAAAAAATGATGGGATAAAAATCTATATGAAAAAAGCAAAAATACACAAAATGAATTCCTTTCTCAAAACTTGCTTGAGGAGAATGCATTAAATCAAAAGAAAAATCATTATAGCATTTACTCAAAAGCTGTGTTTACATTACGGCGCTAAGCTTCGATGCGAATTGCCTCATTTTCATTTAGGGTGGATTCACTTCTTACAGTTCAGATTATAATGGTTTTGTTAAATGAGTCATAGCTTTACAAGGCAGCGTGAACTCTGTACTGCAAAAGGTTCCCAGGAATCTGCAAAAATAAGCATGAGAAGAAACAAATATGTTCCCCTTCCCAATATTTAATGATAATCTTGAGAGTTGGCTAGATTGTCAAGTTAAGTTGGGTCAACTTTCTCCATCAAGATCGGAATGAAAAGAAAGCACAGGTAGTAGGTCTCAAAAAGTAAGACAGTAACTGAATTCAACATATCCAATCTCTCTAAGAGTAGCAACCAAGCCAATTCCTTGAAATTTACTTTGTCCATGCGGTCCTGTTCCACGCCAAACTTCCCTCCATAGCCATGCGAAGCTTGGGGTCCTGATTCAAGCTCTTTCTCCTTGAGGGACCGGTGCTCTTGGAATACATTTTCTCGAAGTTGATGAATGCTTTGGAAGGGAAGCAAACAAACAAACAAATAGTATCATAAGAATAATCCTAATTCTTATATCCAAAACATACAATTATCTGGTCTCTTATATGTATCCTATATGCTCCCAGAAATCCATGGGACTTTGAAGAAAGCAAGCACAAATAGTTGCCACCTCACAACCAGAAGGAAAATGTTAACTGGGTATAGCTTTGCCTTATTCCGACATCCCATTCTTGGTTACAATAATTGAACAATCCATAAAGGAAAAGCAATAATGATAATATACCACAGGAAAAGTAATATTTCATAGCTTAATTGAAACTTATATTCTTTAAACAGACTTGACTTTATTGAGATTTCTCCTATGTCTAATTTTATTGTGTTTCTCTTAGGTTTTTTTCAATTTTGTTTTTAAACTTTAATTCAACCTTTAAATCACCCTGCTTGCACATGAATTTAAATCATTCATATGCAAGCAGGATGATTTAAAGGTTGACACATGACACAATTCTAGATATATTATTAACTTGAAATATATAAAGGAGACCTCTGTTCTACTATTCGTACCTAATAAATCTAATAATAAATTACTTTCTTTGCAGACTCATCATATTTGTCAATGAGGACACGGATGCTCAGAAAAGGATTTCAAGCCACTGATTTTTTAAAAATCCACAAACATTTTGGCTTTCTTCCAATTCCCAGGAATATGAAATACAGCTATATTATTCCAAGGAGTTTTTCTTAACTAAAATAGAGATACTGTGACAGTTAAAACATTTAAAAAACTGTGTTTCTCATATATTGTTAGAATTAGATAACTGGTACAATTTTTTTCCCAAAATACATTTTGAAATAAGTACAGTGGAAAAACAGGTTTATTAACTTGTCATATTCCCAAACTTTATGGAGAAACAATTATGAATGCTTTCATAATTTTTAGGCTGACATTCAAAAGTGATTAATTACCTTTAACTTCTATTACATTGATCTTCAATTCTTCCTCTAGAGAAGTGTTTCCTGACCACTTCCAGGCGTGCTGACTCAAACTCCCAGAATTCTCATCAATGGCTGTGCTAATGGCAGCATTCTGGGATTTGAAGTTTGCACACCTGAAAATGGCAAAGTTTCTCTACCTCAGAAACTTTAAGATGAGTGGACTTCACCTCCCAGAATTCCCAGACACACATCTTAAAATTGCTGAAGTTAAGAAACACTGCTCTGGGCCACTGCAATTCAGACATTCCTGAGGTAATGTACCAATATTTTGGGGCTGGATTTATTTCCAAAAAAACCCGGCAAGATCACCAAGGGAACAGCTGTGTTGGCATCGTTCAGAAGAACCAAAGATTCTATAGCGCCCAATGTTTTATTTCTGGAGTGTATTATTTTGCACAGCCTTCATAGAAGTGCTTTTTCTCTCATCCAAGAACTCACAACTAAGTAATAACTGTAACAATGACAGTATAACTAGGATAATTATAACAGTTGAGCAATATCTATGGCAAATATAGGGGCAGGCTGAACAGATATTCATGTAATCGAGTTCAGTCATTAACCATCTGTCATGAATAGGTTTCAGGACATGTATTTCTTCCGTAGATAAAGCAAGTTTTCTGTCAGGACTTATTCCAAAGCTAAGACATAGACATGACAGTACTGACTGTTCCTGTACTTATTGCTAACTCTATATTCAACAGTTCTTGGCCATCATCAAGCCCAAATTCAGAGGTCTAACCTCTAGAGCACTACTGCTCTAGAACTGTACTCCCTAACCAGACCTATGAAATGCACTGGGGCTACCACTCCACAAACTCATAGCTGTCCTTGCTCACCAATTATTCTAGAAATTATACCTAAAACTACCAATGGAAATCAGCAAATATCATGGCATATATTTTTTTAAAAAATCATTTTACTTGATATGTTCCTGGTGACCAGATCCTTGGACAGTTTTAGCACCCCAGCGCTGTTCTTTTTCACTTACATCATTCTGTAAAGTACATTGAAAAAGAGGTTTTTATTACAACAGTTGAAGCCAGGTTTTAAGCAAGATCCATCATTCTATTTCCCTGCCACTACTGAATTTGGTCACTTCATTAGACCAAGGACTTCATGTTGTGGACACATTCATATTTAAGGAAATCTAAAGCAGAATTCCCACATCCTTAGACACGCACACACATATCCTCCCAACAGTTCCTAAATTGTGAGTTAATAAGTTCATTCGATTTTCCCACTTTCAATTGTAAAAGTGAATTTTTAAAGATAGCTCTTAAATTTAGTTCAAAATTGTACCACAAAGTCAGGATCTGTCTCCCAATCATCAGCACCATCATCCTGGCTCAGACTGATGCTATGGCCTGCCGATGCTTTCCACATCTGTAACAGAACATGTATAAACAATATTAAATAAAGGTTCAAGGCTTTTTTTTTAAATCACACATTTACCACCATAAAATGGCTTTTAGTTCCACAGAATCACAATGTATTTCAGTGGTTAGATGCAATCAATAATGCTAACTTTGATAGAGTTAATTGATGCCAAATTATTACAAGAAAATTCTCATATTAATTTTGGAAAGAGGATATAGTTTCCTCTAGATCAACTTCTAAACATAATTCCTGCCAGCACTTCAAGGAATATCAATATTTGTGCAATTCACTCATTTTTGAAAAGCACATTGTAAATATAAAGATATTTATCTGAAAAAACACTTTATAGGCCCTTCTTGTTTAGCCAATTCACTTCTAAGTATTTACTGCTGGACAACTTTTCATTTCTACCATTACAAGTCTAAAAAAAGTCATTAGGTCAGATATTCTGCATATTTTATATTAATGAACTTCCACTACAACGGAAGCTATCATGCTATTAAGCAAAACTTTAACAAGGACACTAATACAATGTTTCTACTCAAAGATAACTGAAGATGCACCAAAATCCCAGAGTTGATTTATCAAAATAAATAATCAAAATATTATCTCGCAAATATAATCAACAGAAATAAGATTGTGGCCTTTCCTGTATATATCCAAGAGAAAATCCCAGTGAATTCTCTGCAGTTTATTTCAAAGGGGAAAAAAAGTAACATTAAGTTGTAGCATATTAAAATGTAGCCTTCAGAGATCCAATCCAAAATCAGAGGGGCTGAATAGTAAGTATTTTCAGCTTCTGTTCCATTCTAGGGTTGTTTCATACTGAAGAAAGGCTGAAGTTTCTGCTCCAACAATAGTTCTTCCAATGTGGTTAGCAGTGCAAAGGCTTACATTTTCTTTACTGTACTCTTAGTTTTTCCAGTTAATTTCTTTCCATCTACTATACAGCAGGCTGGGCAGAATTTTTCCATGTCATACAAGTCACCAGTGACATAGCAATTTGGGGAAGGGGGGGGGGAATGGAAAGCTCAGACAACTCAAGTGCTGCTACTATTACTATGAGTAATACTAGACCAACAATCAAGCAGTAAATATCCCAATCAAGGAACTATCAACTTAGACAATCAAACAGTAAAAAACAGCCTAATCAAGGACCTTCCAAGAGGAACACAACACTGACAGGGCAGATCACTGAACCAAGCTCAGAAATCACTAGAGAACTCCACAAAGAAAGGAAAATAGCTCTGTGATTTGTAGAGTTATATTTGGGGAAAGAAAGAAATAGCATAAGCAAATTAATTCAAGTTATCTAGCAGTTATAATTCCTAACAGATCTGTAATATAAGATAAGAAGTATTTGTACAGGAATCCCCATATTTAAGGAGAGGATTCCAAGAGAAATTTAATCTTTCTCAGTAAACTCATTTTCATAATGGTCAGCGTGACATGTTACTGCAAGTATTACAGGAAATCTCTTCTGTATCATTTGAGTTAATCATTTGAGTCTGAGGTATGCACTGATTGTTATGGCTAAGCTGCAACTGGTTTTGTGTTTTTAAAGCAGCCTGGTATGCAAACAGAAGCAGATAAAACTAAATATACTGACCTAAATTACTTAAGAAAATTTCCCCAAATCTAGGCAGTGTGACCGTTTCAGAAGTAATCTCAATTCACTACAATTAACCCAAATGTGTGGGTTAATTGTAGTAACCAAGGATTCTATGTTCAACCATAGATACTCGCTGGGTAATATTAGACCAGCTACTCCTCTCTCTTAACCCAACTCATTTCAGAGGGATCGTGGAAGGGAAGAATGGGAGGACAGGAGCCTCCACTGTTGTGAGCCTCGGCTCCTAAACAAAGTCAGATACAAACTGAACAAAAAATTGGGCTGTCCAAGCTCCAAACTTTTGTTGTCCCCTCATCCTCTCTTACAAGCACCTTCTCTCGGTACCTTCCCTTTTCAGTGTGGCCAGTGCTACCAACAATCCAAACTGTCCAAAATTTCAAATGCAAATAACTATGCACATTTGTTAAGTTCAAAGCACAGAAGAGTTTATTATTGCTACCTAAATAGAAGAATCTAGCTAACCAACAGTGAAACTTAAATTGGTGCTAGATGAGGGTCAATAGAATTCGAGAGAGGATGGAGTCTCTTGTGGCAACAACACAAAGACTCCAAACCGATGATACATTTAATAAAAAGGACTGGGAACGACATGATAGAGTGTTTCAGTATCTAAGGGACTGCCATAAAACCGAAGGCAAAAGAAGCAGCGATGGATGGAAACTAATCACGACAGAACCTAGAACTAAAGAGAAATTTCCTGACAGTTAGAACAATTCAACAGTGGAATTACTTGCCTTCAGAAATTGTGGGTGCTCCAACATTGCAGGTTTTTAAAAAGAGATTGGACAATCATTTGTCTGAAATGGGATAGGGTTTCCTGCTTGTGCAGCGTGTTGGATTAAAATACTTCCAAGGTCCCTTCCAATTCTGTTATTCTGTTTTTCTATTAACCCAAGGCCTTCTAGCTCAGCCTGGTTTTCTCCTATAAAAACGTACATTTCACAATCTCATTTCTGATCATAGTTTTGAAATGTAGTCTGCCTTCTATATAGTAATTGTTTAGCAAGAATGTGACACTGTCTTCAAAACTGAAAAACAGAGGAGCACCAGGGCAAGTAAAAGGAATGTACATTCCTGCAAGTCTTTTATAAATTCAGTTTGGTCATGAGGTCAGTGTGGAGAAAGCAAATGGCAAATCAAGAAAACATACATGAAGGTCACAACCCTCTGTAGTCTAGGTGCAATTCCTGCTAGAAGAGTAGAAAGGGATGATGGGAGGAAAGAACTGTCAAAAGCAGCCAAGACTACTAGGCAGTGTATCCTAAATGAAACACAGAAATTTGAGTTCAATTTTTGCAGATACATACTTTGCAGTAAAAATCCTAAAAAAACAAGATTACTTTGATCTTGAAAATAAATCAATGTACACTTTGCACTAAAATCCTAAGAAATCAAGATTAATTACTCTGATCTTGAAAATAAATCTATGTATAGATTAAATGCACACCCCATAGATATTTAAAGGCTGGCCAATCTACTGCTATAGGGTTCTCAGACTGGATGAATCAAATATCTCCTTGCCAGTAGCCGGTGAGTAAGATTTTGTGACTTACTGAATCACAAGCAATGAATCCCCAAAATTCCATTCCAAAAATCAATTCTGGTACCAAATCTACTTCTGCATTTATGTTCACAGAAGCATCAAAACATCCAGAACTATCAATGTGGATTTGACATATGTCAATCTCCGTACTAATGAACAGTGATCACATTTAATTGATCAGCTGGCCTCCATGATTTACCACCCCACTTCTTGCAATTTTTTTTGTGGTGTGTGTGTGTGAATACATACACGGAAGCCCTACTTAAAATCACAAAGGAGCATCTTGGCTCCCAGTAAGATCCTCTCCTAATCTAAAATGGCACAACAGATAAATAATATCTTGAAAACAACCATCCTTTCAGGACTTTTGAGTTGTCCTAATAAAATTATTGCCCCTATTTAGAACTTGGATCCGTATTAAAACCGGTTTTACTTGAGAGCGAGGGGGGGAGTTTTCACTTCAACAATTTTCAGCTTTTAAAAGGGTGTCCTGCCTAACTGTGTTTCCAAGAGGTTTGTTATTTTTTAGGAAGGAAGCCAACCCATTCCTCTACCCGCAGATCCAGCCAGGGAAGCATTAGTCACGCGCCTGCAGACCCGGACCCGCTTCTCCTGCCTTACCCACCCTACCACATCGCGCTGGTAAAAGACGGCGAAAGAGGAACTGTCCTCTCCTCCTGCATTCAAGCAAGCAAAGGAGGTGGCGAGGAGCGAGCCAGGAATCGGCCGGATCGCATCCTCCTGACCGGGCAAGGGAGGGAAGAAGGGTTCGACACCCACCCACCCCCTTTTTTTTGGATCATCGGCCTCGCCGCCGGAGAACAAAGAGCCTTCGAAGCAAAGAAAGCCAGGCAGCCGCCAGCATGTCAAACGGCACCCCCAGCCCCGCGACCAACCTTCTTGACCAAGAGAGGAGTCTGCAAAATCTAAAAGCCAAAAATCGCAGGGGCGGCCCCACCTTGGGCTCTGCATCAGCGCCGCCTCTGCCCAGATCCTGATCGTGGAGTGGCAACCGAAATCCACGCCAGAATCCCTCGCCAGGCCGGGCTTATTCTTTCCCCTGCCTGGGGTTTCTCTTTCTTCCCTTTGATTCTTTCTTTCAAAGAGCACCAATCCCGGCCGCGCTATCCATCCCCGCCGGGCAAAGAGAAAGCCGCTAAGAAAGAGCCGGCCGGTCCACGCTGCCCTCTTTTCCCCCCCGAGGAGCCCCCGGCAAGGACCCGGGTTCCTGTCACTTACTTTGCGGCCAGCCCACTTCCCCGCTACTCAGGCGCCTTCCTTGCCGACGCGACGCCCGCTCCTCGTCTCAGCCTGCTGGCCCTTACGAGCTCTGCTGAGCACTGCAATTTCCGCCTCTCCCAAGATCCCGTTTCCTGTTTTTCAGCATGGCGCGTCATCAGGTGGGAGATGGCCGCAGCAACCCGTCGGGGCTTGGCTTGCTACTTTCAGCGCGGGCTTGTGGGAGGCGAAAAGACCTCCGCATCCGTCCATGCCCTTTAAAAAAAAAAAACATAAGATGCCCGGGGATTCTTCGGCGCGCCTCGCTCCTGTCTGCAAACGCGGCCGGCCCTGTCTGCAGGCTGGCTTAGCGGAGCCTCTGGTTCGCCTCCCCCGCGCATTTTGAAGAAGCCTGGAAAAAAGCAGCGCGCCTGCGCCCCCCAATATAATTAATAATTATAAACAGCACGCGGGGTGGGGTGGGGGGAGATTGGCTTCGACTTCCGACGACTCTTCCACAGGCTGGTCTCCTTCAAAGGGCATCTCTCCCCCCCCCCCCCCCCCCCTAAGGCGCACCCCTGGCCGGGGGGTTAGAGC